AGGAAACAGTAGCGGTGAGGAGACGAGAAGATTCATTTGTTATTTGCTGCTTTCCAAATGAAATTTGACGAATCGGTGGAGAGGAAGAATGTTGTAAACAATCACCTCGGTGAATTTCAGCTTTGCACAAATACTTGAGATGTTCTCAGATTCCAAAAACCGGTTCACACTATCGATAACCGTATATCCGGCCAACCGAACAAGATCACTGTTCACCGACGCATGCGTCCACGCATAACACAAACAAAATTTTTCGTCTATTTCCATTTCCTCACACGTCCTACAGTTATCAACATTAATAGTGTGTTATTTAATTGCCGAACAAAACAGAAACAACTGAAAATTCTAAACGACAAAACGACGTGCTGCAGTAATTAGCATCATCACATTTCTGAAATGATTGCACACAAAATACATTTTAGTGTACATTTACTTCTACTGATACTTTTGTATCAGCCCTATCGTGACTGCTAAGTTTCATTGATCTCGACTTTCCGCAAGTTGAAATTTACCTATCGTATGGGATTGGTCTGAATAAGCTCATCGCACGAGCACCTCTTTTATCACCGAAATCGCGTCTGAAATTTCACTTTTAGCTTTATTTTCAACGATCTGTTTACTAACGTAATTTTTTCGTAGCATGCAGAAAGCGTTTCTGATAGCCGATTTCTATAAGACAGCTATGAACAACCTGAAATCGTGATAGTCCCAATTTTTATACGCATTCTTTTTACCAATTTTCGCGATATCAACAAGAGTTGCGTAAACATCATAATTTGATGTATGTCGAAAAGCGTTATTGCGCATGTTTGTCATCAGTTGATTGTTAGCACGTAGAAACTTTGGTACTGCTATCTGAAACGGTAACTGGTGGTTATTGCTCGGAATGCACGATTGATTGATTGGGCAAGTTGGACTCGTCCTTGTTCATCACCGTTTCCTTGACATACAGTGAAAGCCAAATGATCTGAGGGAATACTCAGTAGCTTTGCGAGTTCGCATTCTTTCGTGCTCATCACCGTAACGGGCATAAAGTATTGCATAGAAAGCTGAATGAGTTAGATGACCGACCATAAGCATCGGATTATAGTCTTCAAATTTGCCAACTCCTGCTTCTCTTTGAGGACCAAAACGAAGTCCATGATCGCCCATCAGAAAGATGAAACTGTTCTGAAGTGATGTTCGAAACCGGTGGAAGAAGTCAGCGAACATCTGTAAGATTATTCATCGATTATGAATTTCGGCTGGAAATTCCCTACTCTCCTTTCGCTAGCACATTTCCCTTAATGTATGATTATTTGTGAACAGGCGATGTTCAGTAGGAACACAACATTTCATCTGATCTCTCTGATTCGTTTGATACTATTGAGGAATTCTTGGCTGCAACCGTCACTGTAAATCAGTGGTTCTCAAGTTCGAGTGCTGCATTACCCTTCTGATGATGTGGCAGGCCGCCTTATCCCCTTCCCCTCTGATACAAGAACTCCATGATGGTATTCGACATGGCTAGATCTTCTCTTAGTCTGTTTAGACCGTTGAGCTCCTCATTATTGCAGTCGATTATGATTGCATGAAAAGCTATTGTCTAACTGATAACTGATACACNCTCAAGACTTTTTCTCATTCACTTCGTCTCATTTCACTTCACAGTTAAAATCAATTTCTTATTCTATAGCATATGCTATTTACTAGATGCGTTGACGAGTGTTGACAGCCGAAACCAACAATACAGCAATTGAATTGAATTGCTCAACAGTTAAACAATCGATTACAGAGTGTATTTGATAGAATGAGAATTTGACTTTGATTGTTGAGTGAAATGAATGAGAAATTGGCAAAAGAGAACACTTTTGGTGATAACAGCTATAAGAGCGATTGAAACAGGAAGGAAAAGAATGAAAACCCTGTTAGACCCGGACGAACTAATGATATTCAGAAAATAGGAGAATGAAGAGTTTATCCAAGTCAAAAAACACCATCACAATGATGTTCTACCATAAAATAACAACTGCACGAAATTCTAATTACCCAACACCCTCCGTTACCCATTGACATCTCCAAATTACCCAAAATGGGTAATTTCATCCCCTGTGAAAGCCGCTGGTGTGAATGGATCACTCACTGATTTAGCGCTACGAAGAGGCAAATTATTCAAGGATGTAGGGAACTGCGACGCCACAGTTCATCAAAAGAAGGGCATGATGGTTTACCAATCGTCCAAAAGGGACAACACCGTAACAGATCAAACTGACCTGATCTGACTGATAATCATTAGTCAAGCAATCATTATAATGAAAATAACCTTATCGTGGTTATATAGGTTGTTTAGAGAATCATGATTAAGACAGTGCCATAATACACTGAACTTTGCAATCCCTTCGTACTGTTCCATAAATTGAGTGGTGTAATTCATTTGTTTTGTTATCATCGTTTCACATTGATCCTCGTAAGAACATCTCTGCCACACTGCATTCTTATCACCACCAATATTCAATGGCCTTTAATTAGCATGTGACTGATCACTCTCCTCGTTACTCCTATACGCTCAATCTTGCGATCAATTCAAAATCTCGCACAGAAGTGTCATTCAAATGAAAGCATTCTTTCAAAAAGCATCTAC